TTTCCGATTTGTCTAATTTTTTGTAAGGATGATCTATGAATGAAGACCTAAAAAATATATGGTTTGGATCATTGGAAAAAAAATTGTAGGGTACCTTAAAGGGCGTCCCTCAAATAAAATTATTTGAGGGATCCCTCAATAGAAGGGGACTGATATATATATATATATATATTGATGGCGGATTTGATTTGTGTACATGCTTACCATAATATGTACCTTCCCCATTACTGTTACTCTGGATATTTATTTTTGACACGCAGTAACTCTTCGGAGGTGTGTCGGGAACCAGGCATCCCTGACCAGGTGTATCGAAGGCCTTGACGGGCTATTAGCGCTTGTATGACTCATTTCAACTGCAAGTGTATTGAGGATTCTACCTTGCTTGTATGGGGAGCAATAGTCCCCCAATTGGACTGCTCATTCCCTAGCCACATGAACGTCGAGGATTCTACCATGTGGTCTAGTAAAACAATCCCCGCATTGGATTGTTTTGCCCTGGTACATTGCTATGGATGTGCGTGCATTTATTTGTATAAAAGGGATTTATGGGATCAAATAGGTTTTTAAATCAAGCACGTGTTAAAAGGTTTTACATGCATGGCTTTCTGGCTAATGTTTTTGAAAAGGCTGGGTTAGTATGTTTGTTTTACTTATGTTTAGAGGTGTCAAACGGGACAGGCCGGCCCAGCACAGCACGTGCCCAGTCCATTTAAATGAGGCACGACATGGCACGAGCACGAATAATAATGGGCCGTGCTCGGCACGGCACGAAAACTTGGGCCGGGCCGGGATCAAAAAATGAGATCCAATGGATCGGGCCGGCCCACGGCCCGACATGGGCCGGGCTTGGCACGAGCATGCTTCAAGCATGACATGAGCCCAAGCACGAGCCCAAGCATGGCCCAAGCACGGCCCACTTAACATTTTTTTCTTTCTCAAAAGTCAAAATGCAATAATTTGACATCTAATGTCATTATTTATATGTTTTTTTTAATCATAAATATATATTTGATGTCTTTCATTTTAAGAAAATTACTTGGGTCCTTAATTAATTAAACATATCAACTACAATTTAATTAAACAACATTGGACTTGATATCTAAT